CCCCCAATACACCCACCCACCCTCTCTGATTTACAAATAGCTGATGGAGCAAGAAGATGACAGAAATAAATGAGCTAATCTGATGGCAGTGTAGGACTTCCACCAGATATTAATTCATCAGGAGGCCACAGAGTGCAGACAGATACAAATTCCTGTTTTAATTATGTATGGGAGCTGTGCTAGAAGCAGGAGACACCTCTAGGACCAGGACTATTTCTCAGAGCAACTTTATGAACTCCTTTGATTCCATCGGTATTTTGTTTTCCTTTAGATGTAATATATGTCCCTCCTGTTTTCCCCAAACACTCAAGACAAAATAGATTTTTTCTCCTGTATAGCAATGCTTCACATGAGACATTTGATAATGAACAATGGAAAAATAACCTTTGCCACATTAAATTATATTGTTTTCGATTTGCAATTTTTATGAGGCCTTCCCGGAGCCTGTTTGATGTATTTTGTTCCCACTCGGAGCCTCAAATGGCCCTTGCCGACTGGCAGGCTTATCAAAACCCACAGAAGCTTTATTGAATGAGTGACCAGTGGGTATCTAAACAGAATGCAGGGCTATTGATTTTGGAGAAGTGGTCTAATTGTTTCTAGTAGACAAGGACTTGTCCTGATTATTTGATTGATTAGCTTGATACTGGTCTTCCTCTGCATCCTCCTCCCCTCGCCAGTTAATAGCACTGTAATCCCAATACACAGCTGTATTTCTAATCCATCATCATTATTATGGCTGTACTCAGCACAAGATTAGTCCATGAGGGTTTTTTCTTTTCTCTCTCTCTCTCTCACTGGCTTTTTGTGCATTCCTTGATATTAGCTCTGCCTTCTTTAAGAAAATGTGACAAACATTCGGCTGATACAGTCCGTTTGATCTGCTGTGTAGTGAAGGTGTGAGATTGATCGTTATAGATTGATACACATGAGAGAAACATATAGTATCAATAGGAGATCACTGATGGAGAGTAGCGAAGTACATTTACTCAAGTTACTTTGCTCAGTTTTTGAGTATGTCCACTTTATGTTACTTTATCCTACTACTTAATTGTGTTTCTGAGGAAAATGTATGCTTTACTCTCCATTTATCTAATCAATCAATCAGTCAATCAACCTTTATTTACATATTGTACCACTTTAAAACAACAGGGAGTGGACCAAAGTGCTTTACATCAATCAGATAAAATAGCAGAATTAAATTAAACAGGTATAAAACAAACAAAATAAAATAAAACAAAACAAAAAGTATATACACAAATTACCAGATACTTTTCAGATTAAGATCTACAAAATATGATAATCTTATAAAATACTGTCAAAGTTCTGGCTAATTGCCCACATTCATGTACCCAGCTAATGAAGATGATGCATTAGCAACAATCTAACAATATGAAATCATATAATGCTATTTTTATTTTTCATGCCTTAAATATATTTTGACATGTGTATTTTTTTTTTTGTTGGATTTTATATGCAGGACTTCTGCTTGCTTTTACTTTCACATATATGTTTTTACATCATTGTATTGGTATCTGTACTTGTTTCAAGGACTAGGCACTTCTTTCATCATGTATTTGTATCAAGAGATTCAAAATAAGACAAAAATGGCTGTTGGGGATGTGGAACAGCGGTACACCGTTTCAAGCCTCGGACTACATCTGGCTTTTGGCAGAGTGGTTGTGGATGGCAGGGTGGCATGTGGCGTATGTCTGGGTGAGACCCTGGTAAAAGTCCTGTAGTCACAAAATCAGCAGCGAGAGCCTGAAGCCTGAAAAAAAGGAAAGGAATGGAGGAGAGTGTGGGGGATATAAGTGTGAAGTGATGGTGCAAGAAGCCATGACTGGCGGAGCCCACGCGGTCTCCGTCCTTGCCTGTGGTAGTGCCTGGGCTGTTACTCGTCTAAGAACGTGGGAGGAAGAAGATGGCAGTTTTGGGGAGGGGGGGTTGTCACACTGTGTGGAGGTGACACCTCCTCCTGGCCCCTGGGGACAGCCAATGTCTCCCCCAGTCCTTCCCTTAAGGGAGCAGGGGGTCTCCATGGCTTCTCACAGTCACACCAGAGTCTCTGCAGATTCCTGCTCCACTGTACTCAGTGGGACTTAACTGGACTCTCCACTGACTGGACTGGACTGGCGTGTTTAAAGACTCTCTTTGTTCAGTCCCTGCAGCTTGAAGTGGACTCTCTTTTCTGTTTCTCTGGTGAAATCTTTCCACACCACATAACAGTTCCATTCCCCAACCATGAGTCAGCTGAACAAAAGAAGTATCAGTGTCGCTCACTCTGCCTCTGGAATTAAAGAATGAAAAACGTTTTTTTCACAGAATATTTCCAGCCCTATCTCTTAGCCCTCACATCCAAACGAACCTCTCATGTTCTCTGATCATTTACATTTATATTCTACACAGTGTTTTATCATCTTCATCAAGCAACAGATACTGTATAGACTGACTTGTAAGTGTTCAGATGATGTGGTTGAACGTTTTCAGCCATCAAAATAATCAATTGGACCTTTGAATCTATGGTGCCAGGTCTTCCAGGTTAATGCAGCTCAAGAGACCCTGTTTATCGTGCATAAGCTTCATTATTTTGAATAACTATAAATGGGCATGGTCTTCATCTACATGCTTTTTATTGCCCATGTGAGGCCTGCTGCACCACAGCTACTCAGCTTTCATAAATGTTTAAAAAATGCCCTTTGATAATGAGTTTGTCATTGTTTTATTCAGAAATATCAACTGGACCATTATCGTGGCAGGTATGTTTTTCCAATCAATACACAATGGTGTATTAATATTTAATTCTTTATATGTCACTACAATATAAGAAAAAGTAGACTGTTGATAAATGGCAGCTGGAGCGTGTTTATTTTCTTGCTGTAGCGCTGAAAAAGAGAGAACAGACAATTCAGTTAAAGGCAGTGCATGTGCACAGAGACACACATTGTGTCTGGTATACAGTATATGCAGGATTGCTGTGTCTTCATCCTGCAGTAGGTGTTCTCATGTAGCTGTCTGCCAATATGTCTGTCTGTGCTGTCTTTTTCTGAGACAGCAGAGAAGATGTCTGGCTACCATGGAGTCCTGCAGTCATAAAGCCCAACTTCAAGCACACTCAGCCAGTCTGCAGGAAGAATATTCATGACTTTAAAGTGGACCTGTGACTATCCATGGTTTCTCCCATTACATTTATTAATGCAAGAAAATATTTTATTTATTATTTTTATTTCAAATCTAGTAACACTAACAAATTAAAGCAATTTCAATATAATTATCAGAATTTCAAAGGCTAATGTTGCTAATGCTAATATTAAAAAAACACCCAGTATTGGTTGAGAAAATAATATTTAATGATAGTTCCCCTCAAATGCATTAAAACTAAAATTAATTAGCCTGATTTGACAATGTAAGGAGTAGAAAGCACAGGTATTTTTGGTGAAATGTAGGGAGTAAAAGTAAAAAGCTGACAGAAAAATAAATACTCAGGTACAGATACCTGAAAACTCAGCTTAAGTAATGAAGTATTTATACTTTGTTACTTCTCATCGCCAATCATAGGGTGAAGCGGGCATTTCTTTTCTCCTTCTTCTTCTTCTGTTTAAGTTCAGTTTTTCACTATAATTCATTACAAGTCCTGTAGTCTGTCCCACACCAAAGAGAGTTTTTTCAGATTCATCTGCTTGTTTAATTTACGGTGTACTAAAACAAACATTTTGGCTGATTGCCTCAGACAGTTCCTACCTAGTGATTCGGAGGCTAGTTTGAAATAGTCATTAAATGAATATGTTTGTATGTGTTTGGTTGCATGACCTATGCTAGTTTGTTATAAGCATGTAAGTTCAGAAAATGAAACCCTCTTATGTTGACTATGTATTTCTGAAAGTGTCAAGTTACACATTCACTTATTCAGGTCTCTCTTTTCTCTTGGTGCTGGTTGTTTCCTTCAGTTTATTTTTGAACTAGTGTTGGGAGTCATAGGGGGGAAAGCACTAGCTCGGCCACTGCCACAGAGACCCAGCTCATACCACACCCAAACACACACAGCTGCCAAGATTTGTGAGTAGGAGGGATTCTGTCCTTCTACTCCACCAGCTCCCAGCATCCGGAAATGACTGGCATACATTAAAATATGATCACTGAGTGCTCTAGCTAACACAATTCTTACAGATCTGGTGTGTGTGTTTCTTTTTCAGACTCATGGTGAATATAGATTTATTTGCTGTCAGTAAGAAAAATATATAATAACACCAATCTTGGCCATTAACTATTCAAACAGGGAGGATTTCACAGATGATGACAAGCAAGCTTGCTGCAACAGCGTCAGAAAACTTTGCACAGGTGTAGCAGCATGGTCAGATGGGGAGGGGGGCAATTATCAGAATTTCAGAAACAT